CCCCAACATCCCCTCAATGATAGGGGTTACAGCCGTGCGCAGCTGCTCTATACCTGCAGCATAAGCTGCAGCAATTATACAGCACGGATTTAATTTGAACGTTCTGCTGTGTCGATGCAGCTGCTGCCAATGCTCGCGGCTCCTGCAGCAGCTGTCAGGACTCAGCAGCTGTGTATCTCAATTCGTCTAACAGCAACAGCTGTACATTTGACATGTTCGACATACATCTGTTGACATATGCACAATTGCATACGTGCCTTACATCTGTCGACAAATTTGCTGTTGGTATGTGCATCCTGTATCGGTTGTAGAATTTACAATTGTTCAGTAATATCTCTTTACCATTGTTGACAGTGGCATTAATTCGGAGCTCGCGTGCCCTACACATCTCTTGTCAAACACATAATTGTGCTGCTCTGTACGACACCCGGTGCTCTCTGGACAGCTCAAGTCTCTGAGCAACAAGTAACGTTTTGGCAAGGTAAGGAAACATCTCTGCACAGCAAGGCGATGCCTCTGCATCACGGAGCCTCTCTCTGCATCGCGAAGCCTGTCTCTGCACAGCAAGTCTATTACTGTGCTTTGCTAGGCAAGTCTCAGCACAGCAGGAAGGGTTGTTTTGCATCGCAAGGCTGTTCTCTGCACAGCAATGCTAATCTCTGCAGATCAAGTCTAATCTCTGTACAGCAAGGCCAGTTTCAGCAAAGTAAGGCTAGTCTCTGTACAGTAAGACCACTCTCTGCACAGTAATGCTGTTCAGTGCACAGCCAAGTCAGTCTCTGCACAGCAAGGCCAGTTTCTGCACAGCAAGGCTGGCTCTGCACAGCCAGGTCCGTCACACAGATCACACAGCTGTGTGCAGACATGGCGTGGCAATGTCTGCTGGCTAATCTAGGTGTCACGGAGCAGCTCAGCCTCAGCGGTATTGAAATCAATGGATCCATTTAATAAAACCTGCCCAGGCTGTCGGACGACCACAGACTCGCATCAAATTAACCGGACGTTGCTTCAATATGTCGGGTCTTCGAGACATTTTCAAACTCTGCCAGCAACGGCTCACGGTTTTATCGGTTTTCGTTCAAGAAAGTGAGATATATGCCATGAAGTATATTTTAAATTGACTCGTTTTAGTTTAGGAAGTGATGGATGAGACCAGCCATGTCCCGGAATGAACGGATATTCAAATTTGTGCTCGGCGGAACCACCGGACAAGCGGTCGACGCTCTCAAAATGTTGCCACACGCGGTGACTCTAAACCGACGCCTTGCCTAAATCTCTTCTCTTGCGCCATCGATCTTCGCTTGATTACAATATTTCTGATGACGAAATTAAAGCAGGCCTGTCTTCCAGCCTCATTTCGGATTAACCGCATTTTAATATCGTACGGACATCGCGCCAGGCATAATTGTGATGCTGTTTTCATCTACGAAAATGTATTCATCTCATGTTGCCAATTGCAAAATTTAGTGTCCTCATTTTAGCTTTCCACTTTTGATGTGTATACACTACAGTTTTTTCGTTTGCGAATTTGGTTCCTCCCGAAGGGAGAAAGAAGGAAGTTGTCTCAAAAATAACAATAATAATATTATATAATGATTGAATCCGAACTTATTTTTCACGATTAACGTAGGAGAAAAATCGTTTTGCGAAGCAAAGCTAATAATTCAGTTCATTAGTACGCTTCATTATGAGAAGCGTGATCTCTGTAACTATGCGTGGCGTGCATCATGAATTGGCCAATGCTAGATGGTCATCTGAAGACGATATTAAGTTCATGCTCAAAGATCCATAGTATTAATTTTGCGCTCAAAAAGCTTTCAGAATGTAAGGGAGAAATCTTTATGTGCTCAACCCTAAGCTACGAAACTTACTCACAAGAGCCGAACTAATCGTGGTCTATTTTTTTTGTGGTACATCGGTGCTTTTAGTAAGCGAGAACTAATTGGTTTTTACCCATGAGTAATAATATTTATTTATTTAGGCTTCATAAGCAACTATTTACTATTTCATCAGAGAACTCGTTTCCCTCTGCCCAGTGCATCTTGCTGTGAGTTGTTTTTCTACACTCAAGACTTCTTCTTCTTCCATAATTTACATGAGAGATCAACATTTATGGTGCATTTAAAAATGAAGAAATGTAACAAGCGTTGGGCGGGAGAACCTTCCTGTTAGGTCGTACAAGACGAACAAGATTACCGAAGAAAATAAAAGTTACTATAATAGAAAAACTGAAGACTCAGTAGAAATAAACCGGTGAAATACATTAGAACAAATGAATGCAAATTTGGTAGCTGGGTGTGGGCTCGTCCGCGTTGCAGCTGAGCGAGACGTTACAGAGAAAGTGTTCCCTTTAAACAGGTGAGGCTTGTACTTAGGTAACCCACGCTACTCAGTAAACTGGTCAAAATGAGTACAATTTATGGATATACTCGAGCCCGGCACGTTTCATGTCATAGCAAACAGCAATCTGTTATGTATTTGAAGATATTTATGTGTTTGTTCGTGGTTTTTGCGTGTGTGTTTGAAGCCTGGCGGATAAATATATAGGGATATTCTAGATCGTATAGCAGGATACTTTTCGCGGCAGAATATTATCTGGACCCGAGATTTCATTCTTAGGTCCTGGACCCAAGATTCTTAGTTCTCATATTTATCATGTATTTTATCAAAAAATATTATTCCGTTTAATCAAAACATAGATAAGTGTGAGATCCATAATAAACGTGGATTTGAACGTGTTTTTCCTAAATCAGTCCTGCAATTTCAAAGTTTTTCAGATGATTCTGGTTAGCGAGTTCTCTGATCACGAGTTTTTAGAAGTTTTTGAATAGAAATTATTTCATATAATTTCAAATTTTCAACCCATTCAAATCTCAGGACCCGAGATGAATGAGAGTTCACCGTTCATTACAGGTTTTAACTGGTATTCAAATACTGTAGTTTTATCATTGTAATCGGAATTCCGGTGTTGTTATTTGGGATAGCGGGAATAACGCTAAGTAACGCTACCATTAATTAAATTCATCAATAAAGCCTGTGCTTGGATCGTACTTCGCACTATCTACGAGTTGACTATCAGATTTTCTTGACTCTTAACACATTGTACCATTGTAGCACATTGTAGTTATGGAAAGATCGGGTTCTAAAGGCCGAATCCCTTGTAGAATCAAGTCACGAAAAGTACAGGCCGGCAACAGGTCATAGCGCTATTTATTCAGTGCCGACACTTCTATTCTGTTGACAAGACTGTTGTATTCCATTAATGAATGTAATTGTGGTGAACACTTATTTAAAATTATATGATATGACTAATTTGGAAATGGATGAAGTGAAAAGTTCTGTTTCTCACTAAACAAGAAAACAAAACATAGAGAGAAGTATTAACCTTTATGAGTGTTAATGCACTTGCTCAATGAGTCGCTTTTAAGCGATTAAAACAACTATAAAATGCAACTACTTTCATATCAAAAATCACATGAATCATTTTAATAGCATTCTTGCTGGAATAACGCTTCTCATAGACGCTTTCTAATATTATATAAAATTTTCCACAGTCATTCGAATATTTTATGTTTATTCCTACTTTTTCGATGTAGAGACTAGCTTTTTGAGCGCAGGACGCGGGCAAGAGGGGCGACGCCAATATCGGAAGCACGACGTGTATCGGAATATCATTACGCGTACCACGGAAACCTCCTCATTTATTGACAATCTGCGCGGCTTGCAAAGCACGTCCGAGGATGACGTCTGGAACAGCCCCTGAGATCATTGAGTGGCTTCACAAAGTCTGATCCAAAGACGCATCAACTATGGCTTAATATTGTGATTCCTACGGCAATGGATTTCCGGTTGTGGTATATGCGCCATTTAAGTTAAATAAACTAACTAATATGGAACTAATGTTCGTTAAACCGGGGGGAAGTAGCCTTGCAAAGTGGACACGTCCAGACCCAGAATATGTTATTCAACTCCAATCTAGTCTCGAGTAGACCCGCGTTTAATCAAGTGGGACAGCTGCATTAATGTAATAGAATTTATATTGGAATTTATATTTTACATATAAATTCTTTGATAAAAGTTTTGTTGAAGACCAGAGAGTAACTCTTACCAACATATACATATAATTCCTTACCCACACAGCCACACTTCTAGTACTAGTAGCCAATTACAAAATTTCCTCCCTACAAGTCCTACAGCCAATGACAATAGTTTTTTTTTTTTTTTGAAGGATTGCCGCCATCCACAGACGCGTCAGGCGTCTAGAACTCGCACTAACAGGTTACTATTTGCCGACTCAAATATTCGTAAATTCAACGAGATTAATTAGTTGAAAAAATCGAATGCCTCAAGTGTCGTAAGATGTTCAATTATTCGATGTATAGTGGTATTTATATTGTTGTGGGCAAGACTTGTCTTAAAACGTTTTTTTTTTCAAAATGGTTGTGAAGGCCATTGTAATGATTATGATTAAATGATTAAGGCTATTGTAAAGTTGTAGGAAAAATGCACCTCGATGCAACTCCAACATGTACGTAAGTGAATAAGCAAAAAGAACTAACTGAATGCTTGAAAATTAAACTCCATTTAAAGTTTTTTTTCACTAGTTCCTCCTGTATTTCAAGTTTACGATCAACAACACAGTGAGACGATAACAACTTCACTTGGAGAACTTATCACTATAACCATTCCTACTTAGAATGTTAAGAAGACTTGATTACAAATAATAATGCTAATAACAAGAAGAAACAAAAGCCCAGCTCAGAACTGAATCAACATGCAGTAGAGTCTTAAAAGTAAAATACACTAAAAATGGAAGTATAGATAAATTGAGCAGAAATACCGTACTGTAACATTAACACATCACTAGAAATTTAAAAGCGAAGAAAACTCCACAAAAATTCAGCATATCTATATTAAAAACATTTCGGAGTCCAGCTCCATCGTCAGTTTGATAAATCTAGAACACAAATAAAATCAGAGAATAAATAAAGTTTGGAGTCAATAGAAAAAACACAGAAGTTAAAAACCTAAATTTACATGTCTTGTGACATCAATACGTCAGTGAAGAGTTAATACCAATAAGTCAGTGATGAAGTATACCAAAAAATATTCGTCCGTAATACTTATAAGTCACTCGATGGTAATTTAAATAAGTCAGAGAAAGGCAATAGAATGCTCAGGGCCAAGCCATGAACGTGACACCATATTATGAGGTTTAGAACGCGCTACTGTAGAACAAGCATGGTTGAGGAACATAGGCTGCCAATCCATGGCTACAACTTCGAATTTTTAACTCGATAATAATTCTTCAAAAAATTCTGCATCCCTTCAATGCATTAGATTGGCATTTTATCAAACGCCTATAAATTCTTTCACTCAAATTCTTACATGTTTTCCTGCATGATTACCCCAAAAAAAATATCAAACCGTCGCTGATGCGACGACTACCAGCTAACGCAGCCAATACAGAAGCAGCCAAAATTGCCAACGAAGATGGAAGATAAGCTGTGTTTATTCTAACATCAAAATACTACTGCGTTGCGATTAGTTGAGTCTTAATCTCCTCCTAATTGAGCTTCACGATACTTTAGTTAGGCTCAATGACTTTGTTCGTTTTCAGTTTGAACCTGAAGTTTTGGTCTTGACTGCTTAGAAATTATCCTACAGAGAAAGTAATTATTCAAAAACTCTTTGGCATTGAAGACATAGTGGGACGGAAACGCTACTACTATTGTTATTCAACAATCATTTGTGCTTTTTGCTTAAATTAAGTACACTTGGCCTTTTATTGCACAACAATTATATCACAATTCCCACTGATAAAGTTAGGAAGATCTTTCTGATTAAAGTACTAATCACTGTCTAGCAGGACCCAAATTATCGCCAGCCGGCTACCCTCCACAGGGCCCCGAATAAAGCGTTGACGACGCCAACCACCGTAGCGACGGTGAAGTTAACTGTGGTTACAACGCCAATGTTGACGAAGTAGACGATAGAGACGATGAAGTCGACTGTGGTGACAACGAAGTCGACTGCGGTGATGACGAAGGGGTTGTCTGCGTAGGTGATGCTGAAGAGCAGCAACGCGTTCAAGAAGCGGCGTAATGGCGGACCTAGCACGGGCCTGTGCAGCAGCGTACCGAAGACGTACACCTGCAGAGAATGCCATGCAAATGTGTTGTTGAATATAGTCAAATCCAAGCACATGGTAAACGGAGAATTAAGCTACTAGATCACGAACATGACTGGTAGAAATACTACCGTATACCTAATATTTATTAGTATAATAGTAAATCATATGCCAATGAATATCATAAGTGACTTCAACGAATAATTTCTATGGACATACTTGCAAAATGACTATATGCACGATATAAGCAAGCAAATGGATATTTGAAATAAAACCTATTAACAAAAGCAAATGGTTGTTATACGCCTAAAATTAATTTCACTGATAAATAAAATTGGAGGTACGTATGCACGTATTAAAAAAAACTAAATCTTAAACCTAAACAACTAACTTAAAAACATTTGAGTGAAATAACACGCCTAATCTGAAATTCTTTGTTGAATTCCATATATAGAAGGCGGCAGTTCCTCAGCAGTACCTGCAGATTGAGGAGTCGTTGTTGCGAGTCAGACAAGAGAGGCAGCAGCGCCTGTGCATGAGAAGCAAGCCCCAGCACGCGGTACGAGAAGCATAGGAACGCCTCGTACTCAACCACCAGCACCACCTGTCCAACACAATTACGCACACTGTGTGTTTCAACTCGCTTATTCTCACCAGAAAATTTTGAACTATTGTTATATCATTGAATTCAAAATAGACACATGTGATATTGTTTGGAGTACATAATTCATGAAGCTGCATCTGCGCTAAAAAAAAGAAACTAAACGCATTTTAAATAAATATTATTGGCTTAAAGTAATTAATGAAGAAGACAGTAACTGTTATTTGTCTAGAAAATGATCGGAACCATGATGTGAATATATGTATAACTCAATTCTGATTAGAATAGAATTAAAAAATAGAATTTTCATTAAAAACATGAACATTTGTGACTAATAATTATTCTAAATAATTTATAAATATAACTCAACTATTATTGTTATCTAAGTATGACTATCTTCATAAATATTGTACAGCAAGTATTCCTATGAGTAAATGATTATGAGTTTAGAAACCACAAGCGCGGCACTAATAGTACGTTTCATAGGTAGGTGAATGCTACAATGTGAAGCCAGGAATACGATTCTAATTCTAATATATACTTTTTTGATGCCCCTTAGGAGTGCTTCCACCATTTGATGGCTTGCTTCCTTGTCTTTTCTGATAGACGGATCCAAAAGCTGGTGCAGAAGAGCGACAAACTCAGGCTTCTCAATCATTGTTTCTGAGGAGCAGCTTGTAGAATCTTGCAATGATGTGTCCCAATTGAAAGGAGCACAGATGTTGAAGCTGTTGAAATATAAGAAATTCATCAGATGTTTGCTTCTCATAGAACCATTCATGTATATATGTCTGATGGACCACAAGCGTGTAATAAGATATTTACAGAGCAGCAAAAATAAAAGAAATAACTGGTCTTGAACTTGCATAACGACATACAGGAGTCCTTCAGAAATAAGTGCTCCGCTGAAAAGAAATTTAATAGAACTAACTGGTTTTGAACACCCATAAGGTATACAAGGGTCATCAAGAAATGAAAGAGATCTTGTGAAAAGAGTTTAATAGAACTAACCGGTCTTGAACGCCCATAAGATATCCTACAGTCCTCCAGAAATGTATGAAGTCTGGCATGAGGTGCAGAGATGATTCGGCGACACCCAGCTCGCGCCATTTGATGCAAGGCAGAGCACAGAACGCCCATAAGGTGGCGACCATGTCTACCTGCGACGCCTTCTGTGTTTTCCCACTTTTGCACAGCTGTTGTAAATAAATCACGCAAATTAAAAAAAATTAACTTGAAGAAAATCATGAGAAGTCCAAAGTAATTGACATAGAACCATGTTACAAATTGTAATGACGTTTTATGAAATATTTCATGCATCATGATAATAATGACTTACCATCCCTCTAAGATCTTCTTGGCTCTCTGAAGAGTGGTTAAAATGAGTATCAGAGTGCAATGAAGTAGCCTCTGTTATTGAATTACTAGCATTGAACAGTTGTTTTTCTTGTGGCAGTGAGTTGTGAGAATCACAGCCATTCAAACACTTTTCTTTGGGAATTCCTTTTAGGGCAGCTAGATGCATTTTTCTAACCAACATGATAGATTTATTTGCTCTGTAAAAGAAATATTGGCGAAATAAATTAAAACCAATGGTTGTATGAAGTAAAGAAGAAGATCATTTGATTTCATAACACCAAATCAAGAATAAAAGCACAAAATTCAGAAACAACATTATTATTTGGTGCTTAAAAAAAATTACATTGAAAATTAATATTGAACCATGTTCGTCAGTATATTATAAACATAATTTTTAAAATAAAAAATGATAAATGTATTAAATGCATACAAGCAGAAATAGATTGAAACAAAATAAACTAAAAAGGCAATCAGTAAAGATTAAAAAAATCATTAAGGTTTTGTTAAATAAACAACACTAAGATGAAAACTTACTCAGAACCAGGTTCAAATGGATCTCCAGAATACCACAAGTACACATGCCGAAGAGTGGACAAGTATCTCACAGCAGCCGTCACTTGAGTGGAAGACTTGCCAGTGTGACTGAGAACTGAGACAATTCCTTGTACGTGGAGAATTGCACTCAAACTAACCAGGTTGCTCATGAAAATTGACAGGAAATTCATGTGGAAGAACTCTTGGCCTCTGAAAATTTGAAGAAGTATTAGTCCCGTGGCCAAAGCTGTGATTCATAAAATCCTATAAAATAAAAAAAACTGTAAAAACCAGTAAGTTGAGATAAATTCATATTTCCTAGCAATTAGATGGGAATTGAGATAAAAGTTTTAGAATTTTTTATGAACTAATTAAAGTTAAGATAAATAAACAGCAGCAGTGCTTTATTTTGGACATTTTTTAGCTAGCATGATTTGCATTCTTATGAACAATGAGTAAAAGCATTAAATTTGATTTAGCAAATTTTATAATATAATGGAATCAAAGGAAAAGGTTGAAAAATTACAATAACTGCAACATTTTTGAATAATGTTCAAAATGTCACCATATAATAACTTTCAAAATAAAATTAAATAGATATAAGTACAAGAAACAAAAGAATTACCTCAAGAATTTTTGCTTGTCATACCAAGGTGGAGGAACAACTTTACCATGCAAAGCTTGTTCAACCAGAGCATTGCACTCATAGCCCTCTGTCTTCAATTTTTGTAACATTATACAACTTTTGCAAGATTCACACTTGCATTCCTTCCACTCATCCATCATGGAATGGTTGTACAGGCTAAAAATCTCAAAGATTTAAGGATAATAATAAAAGTTAGGTAATATTAAAAATCTGTGAACAAAAAATAGTCACATTAATAATTACATACTACTGCTACTAGTACATGCATGAGCTCCTTCGGAATGTCTCAGATTGGTCGGTGGACAAGAAACTGGCCATGGCTCCTGGCAAGTAGTCGGTCATGCTCTTCACTCCAGATCCGCACCAGTCCCGAAACCACCCATCTTCCTCAATCTGCAACAGCATCTTCCCCATGGACAAAACCCCCAAAATCCTAGCCGTCACCTGGGAAACGCACTTCACATTCTCCCCCCATGCAAGAGCCATAGCCACAAAAGCAACCAGTCACATCTTAAAAGCCCTAGCTGGTACTAACTGGGGCATTTCCAAGGAGGAGATCATTGCCACCTACCAAACCATCACACGCCCAATCCTCAACTATGTGGTCCCCATCTGATACCCTGTTGCCTCACACACAGCAATTACCAGTCTGCAACCGATTCAAATCACTGCACTGTAACTAGCCACCAGCTGCCTCAAAATGGCCCCAATCTCCCATCTTCACCAGGAGACCAGCGTCCTCCCTTTGTCTGCGCACCTGGACCTGGCTTGTGCCCTCCAGCCCTCCCATACCTCATTGTTTCTGCTCCATTTGGGGACTGCCCCATGAAAGCCTCCATTCAGTCGAGGTTCAGCCACCTTGTCACTCCACTCTTGGCAAATGGTATCTTACCCGCTGGTGCTTACGGAGAAGCCAAATGGGCTTTCCGCAAGGAGATTGCCTCCTGCGTTGCGGCAACTGATGTCCTCGCTACTCCTCCACCACCGATTGCTTTGGTTGAGACCTCACTCCTGCCCCCCTACTGTTTGGCGCTATCCCAGCTCTGCTCGAGATACTGTAGCTCCCTGGCATCCTACTCCACTAGGATCGAGCACCATACTCTTACTCCTCTAGCTCTGCCTGCCCGGTGTGCAGGGATCTCCTCCAATAGGTCCAGCACTTCTTTGCCTGCCCCGCCTTCCCAACGTCTCCTCATTGTGGGACAGACCCCGTGGAGGCCGCGGCATTCCTGGCCACCCTCCGTGCCTTCGCCCACCTCCCCCCCTCTTCTGGTGCCAGCCCCCTGCCCACCTCCTGAGCCTCCCCCCTGGTGAGTGTGACAGACGCAGTAAACAAAAACAACTAGTAGTAGTACATGCACAACACAGCCAAAATAAATAACCAGAGAGCAACCTGAAATTTTACTAAATCATAGCAGCCTCAAGTCAACTAGCTTGAATAAATGTTTATCAAGGCTCAATCATATAGTTCTATTACAATTCAGTTAGGAGGAAAAAAAAACCTTGACAAACTATTAGAGCTTAGAAAGTTAAAATATTTCACACATGACCATGACTATGAGCAAGATTGGAAAATTCCTATTAGCTACTTCCTACCAAAAGCTTGCAGTTTCACATCAAAAGTGAGGCATTATAAGAGATCAGCATGCAGGTTTAATTCTCCGACATATTACCAAAATCTGGCAGCTTTAAATGATATATTTTCCATAAATTTTTAATCTTGCATCTCAATCTGGGATTGGAATTTTCCACCTTATTACTGTAGTGTTTAGTGTTACAGCTTCAAAGTGAAAAATTTTCAATACATTATGAATCTCATGTCCAAATTGTGTACCTACCTTTGTTAGCAAAATGATAGGAGGTAATTCATCTATTGGGAATGTTGTGGCTCCAATTTGCCTCCAAAAATGGCAAGAAAGCTCTATCCACTGCCGAGTAACTGCCCAAAGCCAAAGGTATATGTACCGTATATATATAGAGACATATTCCACATCCACGCCAGGCTCAATCTAGCACTTTTATCAACAATGAGATAAGATATCATATCAGGACAGGATGGCAGCAGGAATATACCAGCTCCAAACATTGGCAGGAAAGATCAACTTTCACCTTATAAAGTAGATATATTTCAAACTAGATCAAACAGAAATCTTATTGCTCAAAAATAGCAGATAGCTCTAGTTACTATATTACCTAGTACTACCTAGTAGTTTTCTAGTTAGAGATCCACAAGGAATATGTCTACCTTACCTGCAGGCTGTAACTGCAAGGCTGTAACAACTGTGCTTAGTGTGCTACAGCTACACTGTTACCTCTCTACAGACTCTACGTCAGTGGACTCTATGGTCTGCCCACTATAGTCCACTGGCAGCCTGAGTACCAGGACTAGGTACCTCACTGTGAGTAAGGCTACCTGCACAGTTCATCTAGCCAAACAGTGAGATTCCTGCTAAATGAATTATCTTTTAACTAGGTAATTGATAATAAAATTGCATGATCTAGCCACAAATTTCTTAATGTTACTGTATTGCAAAATTTTACATTTTGGGGCAGCACAATTTCCACATTCCAGTGATTTCACACAGCACACTAACTGAATAAGTTTTAGACTCTTTAAACCTCTAAACTGAGTAGTGAGTACTGAGTAAAGTATCAGGAATTCAAGGCAAGCATTATCAATTTCTATCATATATAAGCCTACATTAAATAAAATGTATAAATAAGTATAATATATAATGGCCGCACTCCAACCCCAAGAATGGCAATGTTTTTTCCAGAGGTGTGGGGAAAAATCCAAAGACTTCTCTGCTGACTGCTGTGGGGCGTGGGCCTGTGGGCACAGGCCCACGCCCCATGGGCGCAACAACAGTTTATGCACAGCAGCACAGAGCCTCTGCATAAACTATTGTGCCCATGGTCTTCTTCTTCTTCTTTTCAAGGTGTCCACGTTGGGTGGACTGAAAGCCACAGGACAGCCGCAAGGGTGACCGTTGGGCCTGAGAGCTTATGTTATGTTGGACTTCTTGGTAAGGAAAGCTGGCCTCTTTGTCCTTGTTTGTACAAGGTCAATAGAGGTGATAGATGAGCTTGATAGCATGTAAGAGAGAATTTACACATGACATGGATAAGTTACATGCACACGGAACACAGATGACTGTATGCAGTCACTCGGAAAAGTTGCACATGACATGATCATTGCTCCTCAGAACTGAGCACTAGATTCAACAGTTAAGTTAGATAGATTTATATACATAGAATGACATAGATTATGCACATACACAAACATATACAATATACATAGATACAATTGTACATATATATATAAGCTTCGTTTTGATATTTTGGCACCTATCTAAAGTTCACTGAGCCTCCCTGATTTCAAAATGAAAACAGTCAAAAATTGAAAGACTTTCCTTTGCACATCATCATTAAAGTTCCCTCCCCCCAAAAGTTCACACAGGGAGAATTGTACATTTATACATCTTAAATTAGTTTCCAGGTCTAGTCTGGGCTGCGCATGTCGCTGACAATGCAGCAGATAGTGCTCAATTGTGTCCACTGTGTTGCAGGTAGTACATTGGTCAGAATCGCTCATGTTGAATCTGTGCAAGTGACTTCTGACGCCAGCATGTCCAATCCTGAGTCGGGCAGCAGCACACTCTAGTC